ATATTTCAAAAGACTGTATTGATAAGGCACAGCAATATTTCGAAATTTTATAACAGATGACTTAGTTTTGCTAATGATTTATTGTGAGTGAAGAAACTGAAGATGGAAGGATTTGTGATCTTACTAATATTATAAATGTGAAAGTTTGTGTGTGTGTGTTTGCTTGTTTGTTTGAATTTTAATCACGCACAAACCACTTGACGGACTGGGCTGAAATTTGGCATGATGATAGCTAACATTCCCGATTAACATGTTGGCACATTCTTATCTCAAAAATCCTTTCGGGCTCCGCCCCAGTGGTTCTGCAGTTCCCCATGTTAACTATATGAGTATTCAAATTTAAAAGGGAATTTAAGAATTTTGTCAGCTGTTTCAAATAAAAAGTTGGTTCTATGATATACAAAATCATTAAAAAGTTATAAGATTTGCTAACAGCGTGCAGCACTAGATTTTTTTTCATTTATTTAAACAGCTAAATGAAACTAAGCAGCGACAAAAAACTGTGATACGCAATGAGAACTGTCAAAGTAGGATTGTTTACAGTTATATTTATGTTTTCAATGCCATGAATAATTCGTGTTTTTTTTTTTTAAATTCGTAATAATGTATTTTTCTTTATTATTTAGGTGAAGTGGTAGAATATTAGGGCTATTTGGTAGATGTGTAATACCATTAGTATACCGTCAATTTAAAAAAGCAAATTTTATCAAACTTTGTCCTCTCCCATTGCAAACTCGAAGCTTGGGTATAACTAAATAAGCATTTTAAACTTATATACCAACCCCGTACGAAGGAAGGGTACTCTGCTAGTTATTGTATATAATGTTTAAATTTAGAAATGATGAAATTTAGTTATCGTGTAAAATTAATGAAAGATTACTTTAAAAAAATTACCAATATACAACACGGATTCAAAACAATTGTAGTGTTTTATACGTGTTATCAAAACGGGAGTGCCGATGGAGACCTGTGGGTGTGCGTGCGTTTGAAGGGACTTGACCTGGTCTCCATCGGCACTCCTGTAAAATACTAAAATAAATCATGGACAGATAAAATAATCTACGTATATTTTTAATGCGTTTCATGAAGATTAGTGCAATTTTAATCGTAATTAATACTATACTATTAAGATTACCAGAAAACTTAGTCTTTAAGAGCGCCATGCTGATAACAAGTTTATAACAACTTTCCCAGCTGAAAAGTATAGGCATAATAAAAGGGTTTATCCTGTAAAAGCATTTTTATAAACTTCTGTCAATTATTTTTTGTAGCATTTTTGTATAAACAATTTTTAATATTAAATGTCTAAGGTGAGTACAAAACAATGTCGATTGCATGTGGCCTATAAAAATAGACAAAATAGAGATACATTTTCTATTCTTAAACACTGACTTTGAATTTATTGATTCAACTAAAAATGTAAACGAAACTATTTATTTGTATGATAAAATTATGGTAATGGTAACTTATTGAGAGACTATTTAGTAAAATAATAAAATATAGCGCTTTCAAGTATGATGTTGAAAGAGGTCGAATGTGAGATTATTCTGCACTGATCAATTTATTCCCTTAATACCAGTGCCTTGTAAAGTGTGTAAACCTTTAAAACTTAATCAATCTGCTCGGTTATTTTCATTAATTTATATTTCATCACTAAATATAGAAAAACTTGAAAATAAAAATAAACTGCGGTGTCTATTCTAATATGAATTACGTAGACTATCCCACCTTTTAAAAGATTCTTCTTGCAGATAACAAAAACAAACCTGGCTTAAAAATTTACCTTACGTAGGTAATACCAGTACTCGTAGCAGAGGAGAATTTCAAATAGTTCCACTCTTTGCCGCTAGGAGCGCCACACGACACTCGACAAGACAGAGCAGCCAAGCGGCGTTTTGTTAAAGATGTTGTGTTAGTTCACGTGGATTCCAACAGAGCCCTCTTAAATACTGTACATAAAGCTTTAATTAAATATTTACTATATGTCGTACATGGGTCGAAAACTCGACAAAAATTATATAATGTACAGACTTCATTATTTTCACTCCACGCTGTAAATAAAACACGTGATTGGAATTTCTTAATTTTTTTTTTATTTACTGTTTATATCTAGTTGTTATTTTGTCGCCAGCATGGCTACAGTCTCATGTTAATATTTTTTTAATTTTAAATTTATTTGTTGTGTTTATTCTTTAGCCTATTTTAATTTATAAGTTGTATAATGATATTCTGCACATCTACAGGAAATATCTTTCTAACAGTATGAGTATAATTTCCCCGTGATGCACATGAGTTTAGAAAAAGGTTTTCAAGAAACATGCTTGCCTATTAATTTATATTGAATGCAGGAAAGTATACATTCCATCTTTATGTAGTTGAAGCTAGTTTTAGAATAACAATTTTGTAGTTGAACAAGACACCGACATACTGTAGTAGTGTACGTAGCTTTAAACCCCCACCCAATTCACTCCTATATTTTACACCCCAACATTGATTAATGCAACTTAGCAGCTTTAAAACAACGTATTTCTATGTCCTCATCTTTTTTGACGGAATGACAAACCAAAGCAACAACTAATTTCAATATTAACCCATCCTACGAGTGATTGATATAACTCTGACATGATTTGTGTTAATGTCATCTCAATAAAGATATTTTTAAATTCATATACGTCTTTAATGTAAATTTTTAAAAAGTAAAAAAAAAAACTTATATCGACTTTTGTGTTACAAGCAATTACCCAATTACAGGGCATAATATAACGTAATTCTCCAAACATAATCTAGTTTCTGTTCTGAGTGTCGAAACCAGTAGTTAGTTTGTGTTTTTATTGGAAGAATATACAGGGTGTTTTGTATTTAAAAGACGTTCAGGAATATGTTTAATGGGTATAAATAAAATAAAATTAAGAATAACTTTTTCCAAAGTAGCCTTGTTGGTAAGATATTAAATTTTTCTTGTTTTAATTTATATCTTATATACAATCTAAGTTATCTTTATGAAATTAAAGTACAATTGAAAAAATAAATAGTTTTTTTGTAAAAACCCATTACAAAATATTTTTTTTTTGTTTTTAAATGGCGGTAATCTAATTTGTATAGCTTAAACTACTCAAACATTTACAGGTTTTATGAAAAAAGTCAGATAGGTACACCTTTATTTAGACATTAAAATTGTCTATCAATCAACAAAAAGTTAAAAAGAGGGTATTATAAATAGCTTGCAAATTACGATTTTAAACACAAAATGAGTATGATGATGTGGTTATTGTTAGTTGTTAAAAAAAACGGTCATAGGTAAAGTAGTGTATGCAACTCACGTATTTAGCCTTTATGCGATCGTTGCGTAAACTACTAACCCATGTTTTTCTTATTTTCTAAGTTTCTAATTTAGTAGAGTACGCCGGGACACTTAACAAGTTTTACTATTAAGTTAAAGAGTAACATTTACAAGATCAACGATATTAACTAGCTAATCTGGTTTTGCGTACAATGGAAGGAGGTGAAAAAGCCTGAAACATTAATCACATTAATTTGACCAAATAAGAGAACTGAATTGAGGCGTTAGCCTACTGCGTATCTTGAGCGATCATTTAAGAGCGGATTGGCAAGTGATGGAAACACAAAAAGTTATAGAACACCCCCAAGTGGAAGAAATAGAGAAAACATATTTTAATATCGTAAATAGACTAAATAAAACAATAACACAACATTGATTCCTACAAATGGTGAACGAGAATGATCGCCGCAGTGCTACCATTTTCAGTAGGAAATATGATCTTACTTAAATGTGTGATCATTACAGAAGAAAACACTCTAAGGTTGAATGAAACTGGTACGTCAAGGACTTTTATGGATTAATCTAGGTTTCAATAATGTTATAGTGATTTTAGATTAATAGGACTACACCCGAGAGAAAATAATTCTTTACTGAAACTATCGTTGTAGGATTCAATTATTTACAGTCAAGGGAAACAAAAAATCGCCTAAACATCATCAGGCCCTCTAACTTTGCATTTTTCAGGTAAATATAATTGCCACTATCTCAGAAACTAACCGAAATAATGTCAATTAATTAATTGAAGCAAATAAAATGGTGAATGTCAGCTAATGCAGGAAATCGGGTAATGTGAACAATTTTGATACTTTTTTTATTACTAATATTTTTAATCATGCTGGTGACAATGCTGTTACCGTTGTGCCCTTAAATATATTAAATTAAAACCCATTTTGTTAGAGCCACTTCTTTCATTGTATTTAATAACAAAATCCAAAACTTAAAGTAAACATGAAACAATAATATATCAAACCAGATGACAAGCAAATAAACAAACTATTAATGTAGACCTCAGGACATCTCCCTCTTAAAGTTCTTCTATGAACCTCTTGGCAGGTTTAACAATTCTGGTAGGTCTGTGTATGGTTGAAGAATGATTATGTAGGTTGGATCTTGGTGTATGTGTCTGTCTTGGAGGAAGTGTCTGTGTATGGGGGTTTTCTTTATCAGGATTTTCTCTTTCTCCAGAGGAGAACATAGGGAATAAGAATTTTGAATTCCTGATATATCTTCCTCCCTTTTTTGTTTCAACGAAAATTTTCTGAAAAATATGTTAATATTTCCCCTTTTTATATTTCCTGTTCTCTAACTTCTCCTTGATTACCCCTTCTTCTCTTCGGTCCGATACCCAAACTTTAGCGTTTTCTGGGTAATCCTTGACCTGGGTCACTCTATGTCTTTTATTGAACTGTTGTTCCTGTTTCCTCTTTTCTTCCATTTGTCTAAGTCTATATCTATTGTGATTTGGAGTGGCTGGAAGTAGAGTTGCCTTTTTCGCCATCCTATGATTCCTACAGAGGTTCCTGAAAGACCCTGGCAGAAAATCGGAGTAGATTTTTGTGAATTCAACAATGATAAATACATAATTCTCATGGATTATTATTCCAAATACATCGATGTATATAAGGTATCTAACTGTTCAACGGCAATATTGATTAAATCAATGAAGACATCGTTTGAAAAGCATGGCATCCCCGAGTCAATTAGATCAGACTCAGGTGTGCAATTTCTATCAGAAGAATGGGAACTATTCAAATCAGAATACGACTTCACAGTGGAAACTAGTTCACCATACCATCATCAGTGCAATGGTCAAGCTGAAAGTGGTGTGAAAATCTTCAAAAACATATTAAAGAAGTGTAAGGATAGACATCTGGGCTTATTGGCATACAATACGACGCCAAAGGAATGTGGTTATAGCCCATCACAACTATTAATGGGACGGATTTTAAGAACAAATCTACCAGTGAATAAAGCAACTCTACTTCCAGCCACTCCAAATCACAATAGATATAGACTTAGACAAATGGAAGAAAAGAGGAAACAGGAACAACAGTTCAATAAAAGACATAGAGTGACCCAGGTCAAGGATTACCCAGAAAACTCTAAAGTTTGGATATCGGACCGAAGAGAAGAAGGGGTAATCAAGGAGAAGTTAGAGAACAGGAAATATAACGTTGAAACAAAAAAGGGAGGAAGATATATCAGGAATTCAAAATTCTTATTCCCTATGTTCTCCTCTGGAGAAAGAGAAAATCCTGATAAAGAAAACCCCCATACACAGACACTTCCTCCAAGACAGACACATACACCAAGATCCAACCTACATAATCATTCTTCAACCATACACAGACCTACCAGAATTGTTAAACCTGCCAAGAGGTTCATAGAAGAAGTTTAAGAGGGAGATGTCCTGAGGTCTACATTAATAGTTTGTTTATTTGCTTGTCATCTGGTTTGATATATTATTGTTTCATGTTTACTTTAAGTTTTGGATTTTGTTATTAAATACAATGAAAGAAGTGGCTCTAACAAAATGGGTTTTAATTTAATATATTTAAGGGCACAACATGGTGGCAGCGGTAAAGACCCAATAAATTGAGTAACAGGGTGTCTAATATATATGCTGCATTACAATGTCAGACTCAGAAAACTCAGATATAACAGTAAGAAGACAAACATCTAAAATGACACAACATTCAGCAACATTGGGCTTCATTGATAAATACTCCTTTAAACCAGAAGATTGGGGCCCATGGTTAAAAAAGTTCAATAGGTACAGAAATGCTACCAATTTAGATCAAATAGATGGAGAAAAGCAAGTAAATTTCCTTATAATATCCATGGGTGATAATGCAGAAAATGTATTAATAGCAGCAGGAGTAACAGAAGAAGATGAAAAGACTTATGATAAAGTGGTGGAAAAACTTAATAAGTATTTTACACCAAGGGTGAATTTGACCTATGAGAGAGCGAAATTCAATCAACGAGTACAAAAGCAAAATGAACCGATATCCGATTTTATAACAGATTTACATCAATTAGCTTCTTCATGTGATTACAAAGACATGAAAGACAGCCTTATTAGGGATAAACTCATTGTTGGAATAACAGATTCAAAGTTATCTAAGGAACTTCAACTGATGGCTGACCTAACCTTGCATGAAACAATAAATAGATTGAAACAAAGTGAAATTATAAAGAACCAACAAATTACTGTTAACAGATCAAGAGAACAAGATTTTGCAGAAATAGACCAAGTGAAAAAACATCCGAACTTGAAACAAAACATAAGACAATATACTTCTAATTGTTTTTACTGTGGAGGACAGAGGCATCCTAAGGAGAAATGTCCTGCTCAGAATATTGAATGCTACTACTGTGGATTGCAAGGACACTTCAGCCGATGTTGTAAAAAGAGACAGAATAATAAATACAGAAATCAGAACAATAAATACAGAAACCCAACCCTGAATCAAATTCAGGAAAATACCGAGAACAGATTGGAACAGGATAATAGAAGCGAGGACGGGTATTACATTAACAGAGCTGAAGTTAAGAAAATAAGAGCGACAACAAGGAACTACAATAAACAGAATGAATTTGAAATTGATGTAAAACTTGATGGGAAATTGGAACATTTCAAGATTGACAGTGGAGCCGACGTGACGATTGTGCCTCCAAGAATGGCTAGAAACAAATTATTGACTAAATCAAACATTGTTTTAAAAACACCTGGGGGGAAGTATTTAACAGTTTTAGGTAAATTTGAAGGTGTAATTCAGTAAAAGAATAAAACAACTCGTCAAACAATATACAGACTGTCCCAAAAGTCCCGGACTGGTTTAATATTTTCTAAACGACAACAGATAAATCAATAAGATTTTGCACATCAACACCACACTTAAAAATCTACTTTTTTAAGGAACTATCAGTTTTCTGTCATATCAAGGGGACGTCCTACAAGGAGTCAGAAGGAAATCTTAAATAGGAGCATAGGTCAATATGCATATCAGTTTAAAGGGCTTGGGTAGCAGAGTTCAATGCCGGAAACCGCGCCTCAAAAGGATCACCCGTTACAAAATGGCGGCCGTTCAAAGATTTCTAAAACCTGCCATTTTGAATCTTTGAACGACTGCCAATTTTTACTCAGGCGTTCTTTTGAGCTTGAATTTACGGCATTGTAATCTACTAGTAAAGACCTTCAATTTGATGTGCATATCAACCTATGCTTACGTTAACAATTTTTTTCCGATTCCTAGGGCTGTGCCCCCAAATGCAAATTAAATGAATCTTTGAACCACTGTTATTTTTGACTTGGTTGTCCGTTTGAGTTCAAATTAGCAGCATTATATTCTGCTAGTAAAGGCCTTTAATTTGATGTACATGTCAACCTATGCTTCTATTTAAGATTTCCTTCTGACTCCTTGCGGGACGTCCCCAAGATGTGACAGAAAATTGATATTTCCTTAAAAAAGTAGATTTTTAGGTGTGTATTTGATGTACCAAATCTTATTGATTTATCTGTTGACGTTTAGAAAATATTAAACCGGTCCGGGACTTTTGGGACAGTCTGTATGTGATCAATGGTCAAGAGGAAGCATTGATTGGGAAACCATGCATCTCAGCCCTAGGGTTCTTAAGGGTCATCAGAGGAGTTAAAAATCACATTCAGTCAAGTGAATATTGTAGCAACCAGAATATCAACACAGACCTACAGAAGATCAAGAATAAATATCCAAGTTTATTTAATGGGATTGGTAAGATGAAGAAAGGAGCTCAACTTAAACTGAAACAAAATGCGGTACCGATGGAGTTAAAAACTCCTAGAAACATACCTATTCCGAGAAAAAGTGAAAAATGAACTTAAAAGAATGGTTGAAGCGGGAATCATTGAAGAAGTTTGCGGACCTACGGAGTGGTGTCATCCAATGGTGGTAAGACCTAAACCTAATGGCAGTGTAAGAATATGCATTGATCCTTCAGCTTTAAACAACCATTTACAGAGAGAAAATAACGTTTTTAATACTGTTGAGGACTTACTTGGATGTCTAGGGAATTCCAAATGGTATTCAAAATTAGATGCTAATTCGGGGTTTTGGCAAATACCGCTAGATGAGGGTTCCTCAAAATTGACAACATTTATAACACCATTTGGTAGATTTTGTTTTAAAAGACTTCCCTTCGGAATTTCAACAGCCCCGGAAATATTTTGTAACAGGATGAAAAGTATTATTGGAGACATCCCAGGAATTTTGTGTTATATGGATGATATTTTAATTACCGGAGAAAGTAAACCCGAGCATGACAGCAGACTAGACCGAGTGTTACAAGAATTGGAAAAAGAAGGAGTTACCTTAAATGACAAGTGTGAAATAGGAAAAACAAAGATTTCATTCTTAGGTCACATTATTTCTTCTGGTATGATTCAAGCAGATCCCAAACACTTACAAGCAATAATCGATTTCCCCACACCCAGTGATGTGGGAAGTGTTAGGAGATTTCTAGGGATGTTGAATCATGTCGGAAAATTCATAGAAAACCTTGCTGATATCGTTCAACCACTGAGGGAACTACTAAAAAAAGATAGGGCTTTTGTTTGGGGTCCTAGTCAAGAACAATAATTTAAAACAGCCTTAAAGAGTTTACAAACAACTCCTGCCTTAATACCATTCAATTTGAAAAGGAGAACTATAATTTCGGCCGATTCATCAGCTTATGGTTTGGTGAAAGTGGTGTGAAAATCTTCAAAAACATATTAAAGAAGTGTAAGGATAGACATCTGGGCTTATTGGCATACAATACGACGCCAAAGGAATGTGGTTATAGCCCATCACAACTATTAATGGGACGGATTTTAAGAACAAATCTACCAGTGAATAAAGCAACTCTACTTCCAGCCACTCCAAATCACAATAGATATAGACTTAGACAAATGGAAGAAAAGAGGAAACAGGAACAACAGTTCAATAAAAGACATAGAGTGACCCAGGTCAAGGATTACCCAGAAAACGCTAAAGTTTGGATATCGGACCGAAGAGAAGAAGGGGTAATCAAGGAGAAGTTAGAGAACAGGAAATATAACGTTGAAACAAAAAAGGGAGGAAGATATATCAGGAATTCAAAATTCTTATTCCCTATGTTCTCCTCTGGAGAAAGAGAAAATCCTGATAAAGAAAACCCCCATACACAGACACTTCCTCCAAGACAGACACATACACCAAGATCCAACCTACATAATCATTCTTCAACCATACACAGACCTACCAGAATTGTTAAACCTGCCAAGAGGTTCATAGAAGAACTTTAAGAGGGAGATGTCCTGAGGTCTACATTAATAGTTTGTTTATTTGCTTGTCATCTGGTTTGATATATTATTGTTTCATGTTTACTTTAAGTTTTGGATTTTGTTATTAAATACAATGAAAGAAGTGGCTCTAACAAAATGGGTTTTAATTTAATATATTTAAGGGCACAACATTAAGTCGGGTTATATATACATCAAGTTTTTGAACGACAAATAAACACTGCACTAGCTGATCGATTTAGTAGTGTTGCCAACTTGGCAACTTAGCGTATTACGGTGCCTTATGCACCCTATTTTGTGTTGTTTGGTTGAAATACCGGATTTCGGGAAAGTAAAATGAATGCGAGAAAGTGAAATGGGTGCGGGAAAGTATGTAAATGCAGTTATCGGACACATTGCATGTATAATAAGTGCAAGAAAACCTGCTTTGTCAGGTAACTGTAGAGAAAGATGGTTTATTGTTGATTTTAAAATTATGTTATAATAATCCTATGGCTGATATGAAATACTTAATTTTAGAAGATATTTAAGAAGAATCCTTTTTTTACCCAATCATACGTGTGAACTGTCATCGTGTTATCCAACCAGAGTATCTCTCTTCACCTCTTTTTAATTTTCTCCTGACAACCGCTGTTATGACGTAAGCTGTGGGAAATGTTTTGACGTACAGTACCATCTTTTGAAATGTAGTACTGTAACACATTTTGTAACAAAAGGCAGCCATCCCAAACACAAACACTATAATGCGCTGAGGCTAACCGTCTCTAAATCACTTTTGCAACTAGAAACTCTACGGAATTAGCATTACTCCAAATCCTCTGATATGACTGTATTATTAATGAGCCTGGATCAAAGTGGCCAAGACGATAATTCCTCAGACGGACCTCAAATTAATACCAGTCTGTAATCAACTGGTAAAGACAAGGTCTTCGACGTTTAAGGTCTCAAGTCTCTCGGTAATTTAGGAGTGATTAACGTAATTGACAGAGTAGGGATTTCGTCTAGAAGGACTTATCAGAAAATTGTGACTTGCTCAGCTTTACGTGTTTGTTATTCTAAGTTTATTTGTAATGTAGTAAGGTTTGTCTTGATCG